TCTATTGAGTATTTACTGTGGGTCAGGGACAGTTCTAAATACTTTAAATGTATTAGTTTCCTAGGGCTGCTGTAACAAAATAAATTGGGTGGCTTTTAGGAACATAAATTTATTGGCTTACAGTTCTGGAGGCTAGGAGTTCAAAATCAGGGTTTAAGTCACGTTGATTGATTGCTTATGAGGGCTCTGAGGAAGAATCTGTTCCATGCTTCTCTCCTATTTTCTTGCAGTCCTTGGCTTGCAGCTATGTCACTCTGATTTTTGTCTCCATTGTCACATGGCTGTCTTCCCTTGTCTGTGTCTCTGTGCCTCTTCTCTTTCATAAGAACAGCACTCAGATTGGATTAGGATCCACACTGCTCCAGTATGATCTCATGTTGGCTTAACTGATAACATCTTCAAAGACCCTATTGGCTAACAAGGTCATGTTCACAGGTACCATGGGTCGGGACTTCAATATACCTTTTTGGGGGACACAATTCAATCCATTAGAACCTGGATTATTTTATTTAATCCTTAAAACATTCCTGTAAAGCAGGATTTTGGTAGCTAGAAGTAGGGAGCCAATCTGAAGAGAGAGAGGGAGAATGGAGAGAATGAAATGAATGAAAACCTGCAGGCAAGAAGAGACATGATGATTTTTTAAGACAGTGATGAGATTTACCAGGTCAGAGTGAAGGGACTGTCGTGGGAGGCCTTGACAACCACACCAAAGAATTTTGCCTTTTATTTAATGGGCAAAATAAAGAGAAATTATAAGTCTATGACTTGAGGAAGGGAGGATACAGAGTAGAAGTGGAAATTTAGGTACATTGATTTGGTGGCAGGCATTCTACCATAAAACCCTAAAGGGCACAGTCTGTTTGCTCATATCCCCAGAACCCACAGCATCTACAAGCCACTACTCGTTACTGTTAGTCACAGTTTCCTACAAAAACAAACAAACAAACAAACAAACAAATACTTAAAGAAAGGTTTATTGAAGGAATTAATGAATGAAAGATGAATTGGAGTGGAGGTTGTTTCTAGGTGTGAGTGATGAGAGCTTGGAGTATGTTTAAGACAGTGGGAATGGAAATACATAGAGTCAAAGCCTAGAAACATTTTCAAAGAAGAAATAATAGGACATAGGGATGGACATATTGGGCATAAACAAATATTTAGAGCCGTATTTCAGGTTTATTATATATAGCAAAATACAGTGTCAGTGTAGTTGCATTTGACACATACTCTATAAATTTTTTTTTAATGGAAATTTGGTATTTGAAACAGATATCACATTTCAAGGTGATGATATTGTAAGTAACTATTATCACCATAAAAACTTATGTCTCTTTACTTTCTACTCCTACTCCCTCTGCCCAAGTTCTTACCAGTTGTACCTCATACCTCATACTGAATGCTAGCCAAAATAAACCTTCGCATCCTCAGACATACCTGGCAGTTGCCTCCTCCCACTCTTTTGTTCATACAGTTGCTTCCTCCCATAAATACCCTTTCTTCTACCATTTCATTCCCATTTCCATTTGCCATCTTTCAAAACCAAATCGTATACCACCTTGTCTGTGATGTCTAATCAACCCAGCTGGAACCAACTGCTCCCTTTTCTGAACTCCTATAGCACTGCATTCAGTTAAATAGGTATCTCTTTACTAGTATCTTATTTGTATTCCCTAAACGATAGTACTGTGTATTGCCTGGGTATTCAATAAATATTTGTGGCATAAATTAAAGCTATTTTTAAATATTGCAAATCCCTTCCCAACCAAGAGTTTCCCTTTGAGGAAATGTTAGTTCAGCTTTGCACTAGTACATTTTTTTTTTTTTTGCAATGTTTAGAATTTCACATCACTTTGGTATATTTAGAAAAAGAGGCAACTGTAGGTTGGGAATAAAAAAGAAAGTTTAACTGAAAGTGCAAGGAATTGTTTCATGGGATAAGGGAAACAAACAAATAAACAAAAAAACTAAACCCATTGCTGTCAAGTTGATTCAGACTCATGGTGATCCTATGTGTGCAGAGTAGAACTACATTCTGTAAGGTTTTCAAGGCTGTGACCTTTCGGAAGCAGATCAACAGGCCTTTCTTTTGAGGCACTTCAGGGTAGGTTCAAACTACCAACCTTTCTGTTAGTAGTCGAGTGCTTAACCGTTTGCACCACCCAGGGACTCCCAGGATAAAGAAAGCTGAGGATTAAACCTGGACCTTTATTGCTACACTCCTTCCCCTTAGGAGAGAGGGAAGTGAACTGAATTCAAGAGGGGCTTGGGACTCCAGCCTTTGGGTCCTTGGGAACCCAGCAGGATCTAAGAGCTAAAAACCCAGTGCATTGAGAAGTTGGATGGAGAACCGATACAGAAAAAATCTCTCTCTTAGCAGGCATGTTATCTGCAGGGAAAAAACCAAAAAGCAGCTGAATTTGTAAGTATATCTCTAAACCTTCGTGGAGGGCAATTCTAGAGTTTTTAGAGACTTAGGAACTTAGACAATTATTTTAATGAAAGTGAAAGAAATTTATTCATTTCCTTGGCTCGCTCCTGACTTAAGTCCCCAATTTGTTCTATAAAGTCTTCCAATCATGACTTCTACTATTAGGATTTTCAGGGATCTAATATTCTAGGCTGGAGAGGAGTTTTCTACTAATTTCAACCAGTATTTTCAGAACTGTTAAACCTGGCTAAATAGGTTTAATATTCCATCCTTGGAAACCCTATGGGGGCAGTTCCACTCTGTCCCATAGGGTCTCTAAGTCAGAGCGAACTCAATGGCACATAACAACAACATTCCATACACAGTGGAGCTGGCAATTCTTGAGGCTCCCAGACTTTGACATGCTCTTGGGACTCTGAGCCTTTGCAGATGCTGCTTCCTCTGCCTAAGATACCTTTCTTCCCCTCGTGTTTTTTTTTTTTTTTTTTTTTTTTCTTTTGCAAGGTTAACCCATACTTATCCTACAAAATTTTACTCAGATATTATCTCCTCCAAAAGCCTTCCCTGACTGCTTTCATCAGAGCCACTCCCCACGGGTTGGGTGCCACTGCAGCCTATTCCACAATAGCCTTGGCGTTCATCATAACACTTACCACAGGGTGTGGCAATTGTCATTCACAGGTCTTTCTCCCCCGCTGTGCAAGCTCCTACAGGAGCCCTGTGGGTGCCAAGTATCAACAGCATACTTGGGAGGCAGTAAGCACTCCCTAAATGCTCATTGAATGAGTAAATGCAGTCTTGGTTTCAGGAACGTAGGTGAAAGTCCTTCTGCCTCACAGAGGTGAGTTGTCGTTTTAGAGTAATTTTGCAGAACTGCAATCTATGTCTCTCCTTGTCTTCGCCCCACTTCGTGGAGTGTAACTAAACCAACCTGGAAGATAGCAGTTTGCCTATATGCCGTAAGCTAATAACAGTTCATTCCAACCCAGCATTTAAGAACACTGATTATTTTACTACGTGGCCTCCAGGGGGAAAGCAGACTCAAAAAAAACACTTTTGCATCTTGGAGAACATTTGAAATTTTGCTGCCAAATGTATCAAATCCGCCCCAAAAACCTTTCTGATTTTAAAAATATTCCACTGGAAAGAGCTCTCTGGATACTCATTTTTGCAGTGTGGTGTAATATAAACCAAACGTCAGCCATCTATCACATTCATCTAACATTTCTTCTAATAATTCAGTTTTCTCCTATTTTGGGGGGGGGGGGGAGGCAGGAACACTACAGGTCTTTATACGATTCAATTTTATAAAGTTTTCAGAGAACAAGTGGTAAGAATAAGTGTGAGCCCGTGGCTATGTTGAAGCAGCATTTTCTTTCAGCACAAACAGAAAACCGTGAGCTGAATATAAAGAATATCCAAAAATCCACAACCGTCAAATCGATTCACACTCATAGAAACCCTATTAGGGCATAGTAGAACTGCCCTATAGGGTTTCCAAGGCTGTAAATCTTTAGGGAAGCAGACTACCACATCTTTCTCCCGCGGAGCGGCTGGTGGGTTCCAACCGCTGACGTTTAGGTTAGCAGCCGAGTACTTTAACCACCGCACCACCAGGGCTCCCTATATAAATAGACTCTAAAATTTTGAAGATCTTGCGTAAATTTTTTCCAGGAGATTAGTGTCCAATAATCATTCCCTTTGTTCTAATTACAATAAAAAAAAATGGGTAGATAAAATTCAAGATTTAAAAAAAAAAAACCTACGTGGGACAAGAGTGGGATGCCTAGCGTTTGTGTGAGCCCACTGGGTGGGAAACTGACCAATGATTTTATGGGGCGCCTGTCAAATAATATAACCCAAAGTTTCATTAGACGTAAAAATAATTGCTGGTACAAGTTTGCCCAGAGTAACCTTTTGCCCCTAATTAACGCGTGTCTTCTTGTTTTAAAGACGTAAAACGCTGGGATAATTAAGGTATGCAATCACCGATTTTAGCATCCGTGCGTATCACTTCTGGAACGCCTTTCAAAAATCCCCACCGAAAGTGGCTTGGGTATACCCCTGGGCCTCGCCCGCCCCTCGCGCCGCCGCAGGTAGGGAAGCGGCTCCGACGGCCGAGGCGGGGGCGCGGCGCCGGGCTGCTGGTATGACAGGTGCCCCGAGCCAGCCGTCCTGCAGCCGGCGCGCATTTCCCCGGACCAGGCCTACGGGCGCAGCCCGGGAGGGAGCGGGGCAAAAGCAGCCACCCGAATTTCTCTCCCCATTGCCTTCAGAAAGCCGGAGAGCGGGTGGAAGTAGTTTTTCTGCACCTTTTCCTCTCGGGAAGCAGCGATAGGAAGGAGCGAGCGTGAGAAAGTGAGCGTGTGCGCGAGACGGGGATGAGCACCCAGAACTCGGCGCGGGACGCCTGAGCGTCTCCACGCCGCTGGCTGTCCCGGCGCGCAGCGGCCGTGTCAGCTCCCGGGCCGAGGAGGGCGGGGGCCGCGAGCAGCGTGGCGCGGAGAGCGAGGCCGGCGGGAGCCGGGGGTTGGCGGGACGCGCGCTCCGTGCCGGCGCCGGTCTCGAGCCCGCGCTCCCCCCCCTCCCGCGTGCCCGCGCCGCTGCGCGATGCAGTGTGGGGAATGGCTGGGGTTGGCTGAAGAGCGCACAGTGGAGTTTTAATGTCCGCCATGTTGGCCATGGCGTATTGAAGAGAGCTAGAGAGACAGGAGCGGAGCGGCTCAGACTCCCACCCTCCCGGCTGGTGTTAGTGCCCGGACGGCGGGCTCTGCGCTCCGTCCCTCAAGTCCCCGGCAGCGGTAGGCGAGTGGGGACCGAACCCCCGGTTCTCCATGATCCCGCTGGCCGGGGCCGTTTCCCCAGAGCGGAGAGGTATCTGCTGCGCCTGAGATGAGTAAACTGTCGTTTCGGGCGCGGGCGCTAGACGCCTCGAAGCCGCTGCCGGTGTTCCGCTGTGAGGATCTGCCCGACCTGCACGAATACGCCTCGATAAACCGGGCCGTGCCGCAGATGCCCACCGGAATGGAGAAGGAAGAGGAGTCGGTACGTGTTAACTCCCCTGTCCGACCCACCGCCAGGCCCCGCTCCCTCTGCTGCCTGCGGCGGCGACGGAGCACCATAACCACACAAAATGGCCGCCATCTTCTCTTCCCCGCCGACGCTCAGTCGCCGGCCGGGCCCTTAGCCCGCCTTCCCCGGCCTCGACCCCCGGCCGCCGCGGCCCGGTAGGGCCTCTTCTCAGGCCACCCGCCGACACTGGCCACTTGCACCCAGGTCCCGCGGAGTTCGGGGGACCCGAAAGGCACAAAGGGGTCACGTGACGAAGCTGCCGGCAGCCATTTTGTGCTCTTTAGTTCTTGGGTTGGGCCTTATGCATCCGGAGAGGGGAACGGGCTGGGTGGCAGTGGGGTGCGGCGAACCGGCAGCCGGGGAGGACCTGCCTGCAGGCCTCTCCGCGGGCCGCTGGGTGGCGCTCTAGGGTCACCTGGGCCTTCGCGCTGCTGCTGGCGCCTGGGCGCGCAGGGTCTGAGCACCGTGGGGAATTTGGCTTCCCGGTGGCCTGGAAAGCTTGCTGGGTTAAGTCCATGCATCCCCCACATGGAGTCTCAGAAGTGCACGTGCTGTTGACTGCAGGTCTGTGAGGCTTCTTTTTATCCTCTCCCAGCAACGAAATGTCAAGGGTCTTGCACATTTGCCCTGATGACTTACTTTCACAGAAGATTTGACTTACTTGCAGTATCCTCTTTCTGGGACTTTTTCATCCGTCCATCTCCAGTGCTGGTTAGTCGGAGGGTAATAAACTCTCTGACTTTTTCTTGGATTTCTGAGAATATGTGGCAGATTTGTTTGGGGTACGTGGCTCTTCCAAAGCCTGTAACTTGGTTATTTATTTTTTCTGTAAAATAAGAGTTCGCCTGCTTTCTTATCTCTCAGCTTAGGGGGGGAAAGACTCAAAGTAAACGTTATAGATGTGAATTTCGAAAGAGGGTCATTTTTCATCCATAACTGATCTAAAGTCACTTCATTCACAGACATCTTAACATTAAAATGTTTAAGTTGGGTGGGTTTCAGCATTTTAAATGACTGTTTACAGCTAATAGACATTTTGTCATATCTGTGGCTTTACCTTGTTAATGGAAGTTGGGTTCAGACACACGGATAATAGAATCTCCTTCTCATTTCCCCCAGATCCTTGGCAATATAACTTGATGACTTCTAATCCTAAGGAATTGCATACCTTGGTTTTCAGGTACAGCCATTTAAACAGGGTGCAGTGTATTGACAGTTCAAAGAAGTCAAGGAGTCGCGTGGATTTGTGTGCTACAATTTTGTTGTGGAAAATTGTAATGCCTCTATTTGGTACTGTAAGAATTTCAAATGTAGTAATTATGCTCTGTTAATGTTTTTGAAAATAAAACTGTTTAAACTGTTTGGGTTGTTTAACCTTTTAAAGTAAAATAGTGGCAGTTGAATGTTACTTTCGGTAGTGTCTTAAATCTCACTTTAAAGATAAACTGAGCGCTAAGTGTATGTAGTAGTTGAGATTGTCTAGTGCAGTACTGACTTTCAGCACCTTATTTATGAGACAGTACCTCTTTTTTTTTTTTTTTTTTGCTTGTATCAACTCCAGTAGAATGGTGCCGTTTGTTTATTTTTAAATAAGTGATTTGTTTTTAAAAATTAAAGTACTTGTGACTGCAGAATCTTGTCTTTTGGTTTTATTTTTGTTTCTGTTTATAAGTTTTACAGATAATATTCTGAGGTTGGGGTGTTGGTGTTACACTGTCTTGGAAATTAATTTGTAGCTCTTGTTTTGCAGCCAAGGGGAGAGCCTCAATTAAAGCAAGGTAGCACTACAGTACACTTCAGAAATTTAGTTAACTCTTGTTTCTGTGAATACTTTGGCCAGTCCCAAGAGCTACAACCTAAAATCAGAGCCAAGCTTAACTGAAGCATCAGTGCTTGTTAAATTTACAGATAATTTTTGTCCACTGAAATATTTTTGACATTTTATAGTGCAGTAGATATCATTCCCTGGTGGCATAGTGATTAAGAGCTTGGCTGCTAACCGAAAGGTCGACAGTTCAAATCCACCAGCCACTCCTGGGAAACCCTATAGGGCAGTTCTTCTCTATCCTGTAGGGTTGCTGTGAGTCGAAATCGACTCGATTTGACAGCACACAACAATAACAAGGTATTTTTTGCTTTACAGTACCCTTTTCATCATCTGTTAGAATTTGTTTCACTTTACATGCAATCGAAAACTATGAGCAGTGAAGCGGGTTGTTGTTAGGTGCTGTCAAGTTGGTTCCAACTCATAGCTACAGAACGTACAACAGAACCACTGCCTGGTCCTGTGCCACCCTCACAGTTGTTGCTGTGTTTGAGCCCATTGTTGCAGCCACTGTGTCAGTTCATCTTGTTGAGGATTTTTCTCTTTTTTGTTCATCCTCTGCCAAGCATGATATCCTTCTCCAGGGACTCGTCCCTCCTGATAACATGTCCAAAGTACATGAGACGAAGTCTCACCATCTTCGATTTTAAGGCATATCCTGGCTGCACTTCTTCCAAAACAGAGTTGTTCATTCTTCTGGCAGTCCATGGTATATTCAATATTCTTCACTAACACCAAAATTAAAATGCATCAATTCTTTTTCAGTTTTTCTTACAACGTTGTCCAGCTTTTACTTGCATGTAAGGTGATTGAAAATACTATGGCTTGGGTCAGGCACACCTTAGTCCTCAAAGTGACGTCTTTGCTTTTTAAAACTTCAAAGAGGTCTTTTGCAGCAGATTTGCCCAGTGCAGTGTGTTGTTTGATTTCTTGACTGCTGTTTCCATGGGCGTTGATTATAGATCCAAGTAAAATGAAATCCTTGACAACTTTAATATTTTTTCCATTTATCACAATCTTGTTTATTGGTCCAGTTTGTCATACTGTGGTGGTTGCATGTTGCTGTGATGCTGAAAGCTTTTCCACTGATATTTCGAATACCAGGAGAGTCACCAATGGTGGACAGGTTTCAGCTGAGCTTCCAGAGTAAGACAGACTGGGAAGAAGGACCCAGCAATCTATTCTAAAAAAATTGGCTACTGAAAACCTTATGAATAGCAGTGGAACATTGTCTGATATAGTGCCAGAAGATGAGCCCCTCAGGTTGAAAGGCACTCAGAATACGACTGGGGAAGAGCTGCTTCCTCAAAGTAGAAGGTGAAGCATAGATCTCAAAATAGATACTGAACTTAATAGAAGAATGTAAAAAGTACCAGATAGACAAGTTGCTCTGCAGTCCTGTGGTTCATGCTAGTAGTGATCGGCCATATAAATCATAATATAATATTGAAAGCGTGTTATACAATATGGGGAAAATGTATCCTAAGTATAAATAAAGATAATTGAATTCTGAGTTACTCTGAGAAAAACAAACATTTTGATAATTTACTGAAGGATTTTGTATTATAAAGAAGAGGGGTTAAGACCAGCTTCTGCCATTGGACTGACACATTAGTTACGCTGTTTCTTAGGTTCCAGTGACCTAGAACCTGAACTTAGAAAAAGTATATAATCCTATGTTGGTTGTGAAAGATGGGGCAGATTTAGATTAGGACAGTTTATTATATACCACCTCATTAATAAAGCATTTCATGATCACAGTGTATCTGAAACATTGTCATGGAAATATGCCTAGTAATCGTTAACATTTTGTTTCTGTGGTAAATTGATAGAAATCTAGGTCTTAACACTGAAAAAATAACACTTAATGTACTTCCATTTAACCCATTTTAATAATAGTATAAGCTGAACACGCTGGCCTAATTAGCCATGCTTCTTAATTTTAAAGAATACCTTTAAGTAGCAGTCCCCTACTCCCCCCACCCCCCACCGAATTTGGAGGTAAAAAAATGTTACTCAACTTTAGAACTCAGTTATTTGTCAGTTTTTTGTTTTGATTACTGTAGTAGGATCGAAAAACAACTAAATTGTAGGGGTTAGGGATTAAAAGTCTGAATTGTGGAATGTAATGTGTTGTAACTTGCTAAATCAATAACGAATGATGGAAGCTTTGTATTTGCTGAATTAAAGAAGTCATTTTCAAGGCGTAGGGAAGCGATAGACTCTAAATTCTAAATATGAGATAAATGAGTCCCTTTTGGGCTTAAAAAATGATAAATTAGACCCAGATCAGGGTAGGAGAAGGTAAGGGGGGAAGATGTTGCCTCAGTAAGTTTAAGTTCAGTAGCACAGCATCACATTTAATTGAAAGGGTAACTTATAAAAAATACTTTCAAGTGTTTTTATTAACATTAATTTATTCTCGTTAAAGTTGGAATTTTATATTGTTACAATTCTTTATGCATACTTCTCATTTGAGGATAGATATTCTGAAAAAGTCGGTTTTAAAGTGATATTTAGCAAATTGGAGGTAGTTGGCTCCGATAGTTTTAACTTTTCATTGGGATGTCTAGGGTGTGTGGCTCCATTTAAAGAGTTGGAGATGTAACCTTTCTTCTACTGTTACCTGGATTGGTTTGGGTAGGATATTTGATGTAAATAAGATGCTCTCACATTAGTAGTACCGCACAGAGCCACCTTTGAGATTTTAGGTCTAACCGTCATCATCCAACACCTTTCTTTAACAAGGCACAGGAAAGCAATAGACTCTCAATTCTAAATAAGTCCTTTGGTCCAACACCAGACAAAACAGTCTCCTACCATTTCTGTCTTAAAACTGCATCCTTCTGGCCCAGGATTACAGTGTTATTGAGGCCAAGTTAAGGACCATTTATAAAGTGGCCAGGTGTTTTTTGTTTGGTTTTTAATTAGACTTTGGGAACATCTAGTTAAATTGAAATACTGTACATATCCTGAAATGAGAAGAAATAGTTAAGTACTAACATTTTCAAAACTTTTTGTAAAGTAATCTTTAGTTGTGCTATTTTATGAAATAAGACTGAATTATTTTAAATAAGTTTAAAAGTTTATCATTTTTTAAAAAAGAAATCCAAGAATTTCCCTCCCCGCCGCTTTTACTGTTTTGCAA